TGTGATAGCAAAGATTGGCCTGCACTATTTACATTACTTTTTTTGCATTACCTTTTTACTTTTCTTCATAAATAAATGGTTAAGATGTGAACAAAGGCATTAAGATTGGTTTGAGGGCAAATTGGCCATTTTTTTACAGTGGTGAAGATGGGAACCAGACGTCTAAAGCTGTTCAATTCATCTAAAAGCTGCATCACTGAAAGCAATTACATGAAATGGTTAGGCAGGTTAGGTTTTCCAATAGTTTTATGATATGGTTTCAGTTTAAAATATATTTTAAGGTCCCTGCAGTGCAAAGAGGTACATGCAAAGCAAAATAGTCCTCCAAGAAAACATATTTTTTTAGATTTAGCTGTTTTATCATTATCAACATTACATATAAAACTCTGAAGACACATGTGTGTTCCTGGATGTTTTGGATGATAAATAAAATGGCTAAAATGGCTTTACACTACTACTACTACTACTACTAATAATAATAATAATAATAATAATATCACAATAATGATTAATAAATGATACACTGTGTAGCTCAACTCTTCGCACATTTGCAGAAACACACACACACACACACACACACACACACACACACACACAGAAGAACGTGCTTGGAATGTTGCTAAAACTCACTGTTTTCTTCCTCATAAGCAGAATAAGCCCGGAGGCAATGTCTCCATCTGCATCTCATTCCACCCCACTTGCAGCTCAGTTTTACAAGGTCCATGTGTGAGGAGCGCCTGTGAAGTGCCTGACTAAAAAGCGCTATAAACAGCTTTTTCTGGAGGTGCTAAGATTTCCCATGCAGGCAGGGGAAGTAGGCCTGCTCTGTTTCTTTCTGAGATGCGGTGAAAGCGATGCTCTAAAGAAGGCTTGTCGCAAAGCATCGTTTTTCCTCGGCTGTGACTGCAGTAGTTATGCCACTCTGACTGGCTGCGCGGATCTGATAGCGTATCTGCGCTCCTGTCACGGTGGCAGTGAGGAGAAAATAGGTTTCTTCAGACCCCGAAAATTGTCAGGCACTCTCTGCCAGTCCTAATTTTTGATCTGCCGTGGAGAGCAGGGCGGCATCAATTTTTTAAATGTTCGGCAGCACAAGATTTGAGTGGTTGGGTTTGGAAACAAAGTGTATGTGTGCCTTGAGGGGGCTCACAGGGGGCGTGTGTGGAGTAGTGGTGTAAAAATGCATCTGGAAGTGGTGATCCAACTGCGCCGGTTTTGGATTCGGTTGTAATTGTGATCATAATAGTATTGAAAGAGCACACGGAACAAGATCAGTGCCTTCTATTTTGAACCTGAAGCAGGTTCGGAGGTGTTCCTCACGTTCCAGCGCAGAGACAATCCCCTCTTCTGTTTGCTAGAAACAGTTCTCTAAACTCTGAACAAAGTGGGCTCAATTTGAGAGACCCTCAGACTCAGGAAAAAGTGCCTACTGTCCACTGTGTGTGTGTGAGAGACAGAGAGATAATGGCTGCTCCTTTATCGTCATTGTGGAGCAGGTGACCGGCAGACGTGCTCTGTGTCTGTGGTGGAGGTAGCAGCAGAGCAGAGGTCTGATTAGTGCAGGAGTTGCAGCACTGTTTCCACAGCTGTTTTAGAGAGGAAGGGGTTTGGGGAACGCAAAACACAACAGCACAGCACACACACACGCACAGCAACACACCCAAAGCAAACAGAGTGAGGTCACTGTGCGGTGAACATCACATGATCACGGCACGCTCACATGAAGACACTTCAGAGATGGTGTGTATGTGTGTGTGTGTGTGTGTGTGCATAATTTATAAGCTTCTGTCTGTGTGTGTTAGTGCTTGTGTGTGCACACTGAATGCGTTCATTCATTAGAGAGGTCTAAATTAGAGCTGAACAATATGAACTAAATACCGTGTTGCATTTACATTGCTACATGTTGCACTTGCTATATACCATTGCCTTGAAATAATAAATAAACAATATTTATTGTTATTGTGATAAATGACATCACATTATGTTGCAATGTGCTATTCACTCAGAACCTAAAGAACACTGACCAACTGCATGTTTCATTACAAAGAGAGCATCATTAGTGCTGGTTAAGTGGATTTAGTGCAAATAATGAATAAAAATCATTGTATTCCTAATTTTTGCTAGTATTTTTATGAGGCATGGCTGGGTTTTTTTGTCTGTTCCGACTTGTCAAACCTCAGAAAAATTAAATGAAATATTGGGATACTTGTATAGAGACGATTTCTTAGGATCGCCCACCCTTATCTTCTAACATTTAAAAAAGACATTGTAAAGCCACTGATTGGATATAGTGAAAAGACTGATCTATATTCATTTGACCAGTTATTCTTGTTGATCAATTTGCATGTTGCAGCCGTGATTTGCATAATGCAGCCTTCTACAATATGGACAATATTGCGGTAAAGACTGTGCAGCCCTCACCTCAATGTGAGCAAGAGTGTGTGTATGTTTGTGTGTTTGTGTTTGTGTGTGTGTGAGAGAGAGAGAGAGAAAGAGAGAGAGAGATAGAAAGGGAAAGGCATATTGCTCATATATACTGTATCTCTTCTGTATGTGATGCAGTGTTAGATTGGCCTTGTAGCAGCACTATCTGCTCTGAGTGATGTGCTGCTGTGGCTGTGCTATCAGAGCAGCCAGACACACATGCACATGGGTGAAGTCATCGCTACATTACCCGCCCCATCCCTCCCCCCAGGGGAGCCAATTTCTGAGAGCTCCACATTTCTCATATTCTCAATTTACCCACATACACCACACACACACACACACACACACACACACAGGCTCATACCACCCCCTGCAGTGTGAAAAAAGGCCATCCCACCAGCAGCATCAACTCAGTGCAGAAATACGCATCCTGCCACACTCTCCATCTCTGGGACTACCTTTAACCCTTAACTGCACCAGTGTTTTTTAGCTTTTTACATTGTAGGCTTGTGAATTTGGTGACTATGTATCATGTTTGTCCAGTATATAGTGATGTATTCTTAATTATGTGCATCACTTTGGCCAACTTACAAAATGTACTTACTTACATTTGTATATATTGCAGGTTATTAGCAACCTGGCACTTATATCTCATATATAATACATCTACAAACTGCCATGATGCTGTAAAACTGTCAAAAATGTAGAGAGAAGCAGGGAAATGAGGTCATCAGGTGTGCAGTTGAGGGTGAAAATTGCATATTTTGACCAATATAATCCATTTGTAATTCAAGACATTTTTTCATGTGACTGTTCTTTGGCTGTGCATGTTTAGGCATGTTTCAACTGTCAGCTTTATGCATTAGCACAGAGAAGTGACTGTCAGGTTGAGCGTGTAACTGTAATGAGCCCAGAGACATCACAGTCTAAAAGTAGGAATGCATCACACCAGTGCCTCTGTGGAATCTTCCCACTCCTCCTTCTACTGCTGCGCTTACTGGCGTCAGAGGTGATTAAATGGCTCAGAGAGCAGATCTTTCTGGCAGTCGTGTCAAACTCAGCCACCCCTACATTGAAAATGCAGTATATAAGTGTGGATGTGTTCTGTCCTAATGGGCTAGCTCCACAGAACCACCGTGTTCGACAAGAGAACATACTGGAGTCTTCTTTTTTATGTAGCTTATAATTGTGCTGTAGAGTGAACTGTGGAGTGTTATGTTTTCAATGTTTCATAAAGCATAATGAGAAATGGAAAGTGCTATATAAATAATGTTACTAATATTATTCGTATTAGACAGTGTTTTCTGCTAAGACTTCCAGTTTCTCCTCACTGCCTATGACAGGACCACCCTCTTTTGCGAGTCTTGTGTTACAGACACAAGATCCTTCTGTGCGTGTGTTTCTATCTCCCCTTTGTATAGACACGTGCGACAGTGTAACAGACTTCCGAACTGCTGCTGACTCAATTAGGTGGTTGCCCACTCCAATAGCCGTAGGCCTGAAATTCCATTTAAGAGGGAAGTGGGACGCATAAGTGTGTGTGTGTGTGTGTGTGTATGTGTGCATGTGTGCGCGTGTGTGGAGAAAACAAAGAAAAGGAGCAGTTCAGTTGAAGACACACTTTTGTCTTTACCTGTCGTAATACACACAAAAGTCTTCAGGCATCTAGAATCATGCAGATTTATCCATTCTCTTCCTATCTGCCTCACTCATAGTAGCATGTGCTCACAAAGGCCTGTGGGAAGTCTGCTGAGGAGCAGCTGTGCTGTTTAGAGAGCAGTAGGACATTTACACTGAGCATGTGCAGAACATCACTGACCGCTTTCTGCAACTCCTGAGGCTACAGTGGGACAGTTCAGCATTGTATGTTATACGCATATATATAGAAAACCTCCATAACATGTGGCCAATCTGCTGCAGCTCAAAGGCCTAGTCAGAAAAAGACTAAGCCTAAGAGACTTTGCCATGAGGGGTCATTGAGTTTTGAACACAACTGTTAAAGTGATAGAATCATCATTCAAAATATTGAAGTTACAGTTCAAAAGTTTGGAATCACCTCTCAGAACTTTGGAATCTCAGTTCAGTGATTTGGAATTTAATTTCAATGGTTTGGAATCTTTGTTCAAATGTTTGGAAGCTCATTTAAGTAATTTGGAGTTGCAGTTTAAAAGTTTAGGATACTGTTCAAAAATTTGGAATCAGTGTTCAAAAGTTTGAAATCATTATTTAAAAGTTTAGAATTGCTGTTCAAAGTTTGGAATCACTTTTTAAAAGTTTGGAATCACAATTAAAAAATTTTGGAATCGTCATTCAACTGTTCACAAATTTCAATAATATAAAACTTTTTTTTTTGCAAATGTAATAATGAATTCTTATCTGGTGGTAGTACTATACAGCTGTAAGTTTTTATAAGAAATTTTAAGGTATTTTAGATGGTATAGGTTTTTAGAAGAAATAATAAGAAACTTTAAATTAAAAAAAATTACAACATATTAGTTTCGTTACATAATAAATTAGAGTGGTCACTGAGTAATAAACCTTATGATTAATGAATTTCTTCCCTCTCTCTGTAGGTATGACTATGTGGAAGTGAGGGATGGTGTGGATGAGACGGGGCAGCTGGTGGGGAAGTACTGTGGGAAGATTGCACCCTCGCCTGTGGTCTCCTCTGGGAACCAGCTCTTCATCAAGTTTGTGTCGGACTATGAGACGCACGGCGCGGGCTTCTCCATCCGTTACGAAATTTTCAAAACCGGTACGTAAGCCAGTGGCTTCAAAACACAAACTGAGATAGCAGAACCTCTGTACCAAACACACTACTGTTATTCTCCCAAAGACTTTATTTTGCTTAGATCAGGGATACCGAGCTCTGGCAGTGGAGTATAACAGTCTAGCACAGTTGGCTGATTTTTAGGGCATATTTTCTTTGTGAAGCAAAAGGCTTGACTTCTGACAAAACCTGAGAGCTGATTAAAAACACCAACCCCTCTAAAGGCCAATAAAGAAATAACATTATCAGAAATCACTGGACAATATAATTCAAAGCTTTAATTTGCTTATAAATGGTGTTGAGAAGACTGTATTACATTTTTTAAAGATGGCAAAATACAATTTCATTACATTTACATCATATTAGTACATTATATTCAAAACTGTACTGTAAGTAAAACTATGTTTGCACAATCAACCTTTTACCTTCTTATAATCGTATTTACAAGTCGTTTGACAGAATTGACAGAATCTTAGTAAGTAGTCAACTCAGCAAGGACAGTCCTGTTGTTTTCTCTGCTCTAAAAGGTTCGCTGAATCCTGTAATGAACATGCAGGTTGAATTGGGTTTATTTGATCAAGCAACTCACCAAACTGTGCTGGAATAAGCACCAGGAGAGAGAGAATGTCCAAAGTGATACTCACTCGGCCATCTTGCTTTGTGTTATGGTGACTCACCCACACATCACAGGTTTATCGGTAAGGCTAGGGGATGGGCAGGAAGGATTATAGAGAGAGGTGAAAAGGAGAGAGCCTTATAAGGATGAGAACAAGTGATGTAGAGACTTTCTCCTCTTTCTGGTTCTTGTGCCTCGGGGCAATGCCCGAGGAGATGAGATCAGATGATATCTCTGCAAACGTAAGGAGTTCCTTCCTTAACCATGATAAAATCTCTGGTGAGTTCTTTAGACCCTATATGGCCTTGCAAAAATATATGCAGAAATTTCCTGTTGTTTAAACCAGCTTCCTGTGTTTAAAGCACGAGCGGAGATTGTGTGTGTGTGTGTGTGTGTTTGTGTTGTGTGTGGCGGACCTTGGACAGGTGCAGCAGATGCCACTTTTGTTAATTAACCCCACTTTCTACTCTGAGCTCTCTCTGTGTGACCTCAGGATAAGATGGATGTTTCAGCAGGGTTCATTTTAATCTCTATAGTGAGTGTTTGTGTTTGTGTGTAGCAGCTGGTGCAGTCTGAAGTCATCCCCCCATGACTTCACACAGTCATGGCTGAAAAGCACCTAAAAGGGGATTCCATGACTGGGGTGCCATTTGTGTCCCACTGATATTACATATATAAATAAAACTTTACATAATAAAACTTTTCTACTTTTTTTGCCTGTGCACTCCCACTGGGTATACACTCTACCTAGAAATATAATCATTAAAATACTTCCAAAATCTTGAGAATCCATGTAACATCTTCTATTTGATACATCGTTTTTCATTAGTCATCCATTACAGTTAAGAAAATTAACATTTTAGTTGTGTCCCTCAACATTCACTCAAACCTGTTACCTGGAAACATTCACCCCTATAAAATATCTGAATATCGTTCAACAGAAAGTTGGATCACCCAATTTGTGATACAGTGATAAAGTGATAATGAGTGTCAAGGTCCCATATAGCCCAGTAACCGTAATTATAGACTGGAAGTAAATTGTTAATAAAAAAAAATAAATCTTTAGTAAATCATTAGAACATTTTAATGTCCTCAGGTCATTAGTAAGGATGCTAGATAACCACATTTTGTGTATTCTGTGCTAAAAAGTCATTTCTGTTACTGTCAATGCTGCTCATTTAAGCCATTGCCTACGAAGAAACCTTGTAAAAATTAGATATTGTTCCTGAGATGGATTACCACACATTTTGAATTGTTAAATGAATGTTCTCTTAGATTCTATTGTGAAAAATGATATTTTTAAGAGTTAAGAGGGCTAAATTAGCACTCCAATTGTAGAATCGTGTAATACCTTTTACTTGAGGTTCTCCACTACCGTACTACTCAAAACTGGCCAAAAGACAAGCGCTGGTATTTAACAATAAGGTATACATGATATTCAATACACAATATATTGTCATCATGGACACATGGACACAAGTTCACTCACTGCAAGTCAAACAAGCTGCAGCTGCACCACATTTTTTTAGGTTTTAGGTACTCAGAGTATCTCTGCTTTCACAAGCTTCCACAATGCTGTCATTGGGCTTTATCTGATGTTTACATCTGCTTTAGAGGGCAATTGGTCTGAGCACCATCACAGCTCACTGTAAACTTCACTATCCTTTCATACTTGTGCTTCCAGAGTACCCAGCTTGACAAAAAATATAGGGGAAACCAAAAGCATGACGCACATTAAGACTGTTGAGGAAAACGGGAATCCAGAAATGAATGCAGGCTGCTGTGATTTTACACAAAATTCCACTAGAGAAGTTTTTTCAAAAACAGAAATCTCCAAAATACCCAACCACCTACACACTTACTGCCATTAAAGGAATGACATTTAGAACACTACATCTCATACATGTAGTGTGTTTTTTTCTTAATGCAATATTGTGATAATATCATGATAAAAGATTAGGTAATTATCATAATATTACATTTTTATATGACTAATCTCTGTCTGGTGCTTCTGCAGCATACGTTCACTTACTATGGATGGACATGTACTTAGAATAGAAAAGAAAGCCTGTTGATTCAAAACATGGTTGTAATTGAAGTCGGTGGGCAGATGCTGACACTGAAGCTGAAGCACATGCCCACTGGCTTCTTTTATAAGTGCACTTTGACTTCGGTCCACTGTTAAGTACAGGGAGATGTGTGGAAATTATGGTCTGTGGTAATCAACTGTATGCTGCAGATGTGGCAGAAACAGATTAGGTTGAAAAACTTTGGGGTATTCTATTAATTCATGGTCCAAGGCAAATTCAATTCCAGCTTCATCAGTTCGGTTCAGCTGTGATGGGTTTGCATACAGCACTAGCTGGCAGGCCTCAGGGACATGGCCTTGGCTGGCTGCAGGAGATTCTGATTAGTATTTATTATACAGCTTGCTGAATCCCCTGCATTACTCTCACCCCACGAAACACTTCAGTAATCAGCAGCCTTAACTGATGTATAGTCAAGCCTAGCGCTGTAGCTGGAGCAATGGTTAAAAAGGACGTGCGATTTAACCAGTCTGTCATTTGTCTCCTGGAACATGCTGCAGTGTAATGAAATGCACTTAAAGAAACGTAGTGGAGTAGAAATTAGAAATGTTTGCTTAAAAATATGGCAAGTTATAAGTGAAAGATGTGAAAATACAGAAATATTCAAGCAAGATACAGAAAAGAAAACATAATTTAAGCCTGTTACTTTCCACCTCAGCTATGCACCGCTCCCTTTTAGTTCAGCACTTACTTTATTGTAATGATAGCTTGCTGTACAGAACTGCTAAAGCAATCAATCATGAGATAATAACAACAATTTAAGATAATAATAATGACACAGCACTGTAACAGTAAATCTCTCATTCAGTCGGTTGGCACTAGCATTTACTTCACAGCTTTCCCACACTCATCTGTTTGAAGTGTGGGATGTATCTGATCAGAAACACACTTTATTCATCTTTGTGACAAAAGACAGTGATGTAAAATATGGCCATGTTGACTGTAGGCTGGGAACACATGAGCTGTAGTTTGCCGTTTTGTTCCTTTGTTAGCTGTTAGCTTGTTAGCCTGGTGATATGAAGAATGGTGTTGTGCTTGGAGACAGTGGCGTGTTGCTCCATTGCTACTGTCCAAATTGTGATAGCACCCAGCCTGCAGCTGAAAAATCAATTCATACGCGCCAAGAGAGAGATAAAGCGCTAGATGAAATAAGGGCCGGTGTAAGAGAGTCAGTGAGAGAGGGAGAATGAGGCGAAACTGTGTCACTGACTAATGAAACGAGAAAAGCAAGGATGAGGTACTGTTTGAAGATAAACAGATTAGCTGGAATTAGCTAGTATTAGCATGCTAGCATCAGCTGCTGTACAGTATGTGTGTGGGTGCTGCCGCGTGTGTTCGGTTACACTTGTCAATCTAATGATTGCGCACAGATGTCAGGGTGGTGGTGCACGCTAGCAGGTGCGCGTGCATTCAAATTAGGCTTGAAAGAAAAAGCTCCAGCTACGGCAAACTGAGATTAGTTTACCTTCAAGCAGCTTTCGCAATTTGGAGAGCTGACTATAGTGCAAGGTCAGAGACTTCATCCTTATCTCTCGCTATATGTTATTCAGAAAAAGAAAGATGAGAAGTGGGAACACTGAAAAGAATAGAGGTAGAGAGGCAATGTGAATATATACATATATATATATATATATATATTCACATTGGCTCTCTATGGCACTATGCACTATGGTCAGCACATCCTCTGCAGACACACGGCTGCACCTTTTAATGCACAATTTTTGAAAAAAAAATATATACGGCTTGTGCAGAAATTATGGCATATTTTATGTTCTATTTTTTCCGATATATTAGAGCATGATTGTTACCTGTAGACTTATTTTCACTTAGAAAATCAACAAGCTGTGTAATTTTACCTGGGATATTCAAACATTTGCATACAACTTTGTGTATACACAGATATATAATAGAAATTGGGAGAAACAGAGATTTGTGTTAATTGTTTATTTAGTTTTGTTAATTGTTTGTTTAGCTTTAGCATGCTTTCCAGGATCTGCAAAACACTGGAAAGATAAAATATGGCAGTTGAAATAACAACACAACTGAAAAATGCATAGAAAAAAGGAGAAAAGCATCACCCCAAGACACAGCATAAACATGTCATAGTCCAGATCCAAATGAGAAGAAAAAGAAGGAAGGAAAAGAAAGCAATCAAGGATGACAGGCACAAAAATAGAGATAGAGGGAGAGATAGAGACAGAGGGAGAGAGATAAATGGTGAGGATCTCCCCTTCCACTGCATCTAGCTTTGAATGCAATCAAGCCTTTGCTGCTGGTGTGTA